TGGACGTGTAAAGACATAAAGTTGGAGACTTTATGACTCTATGGTGCATTTGGACCATGGATCGATAATATGGGCTTATGTGCTTAAGCCATTATGCACTTAGTGGACTTTTGGATATGTAAGGGTACGCCCCACGTAGGGAGGAGTACCCCCTGCGTACTCGGTCAACCATCCTGATGGTGGTCAATGCGAGGTTCGCGTACGCCCTACGTACCTCCGGTGTATGCCCAACATACCTTGTCTATGGGCTTTTAAGTTTGGGCTTCGTGTTTTGGGCCACCTTTTGGCCTTGTATGGCTTGGTCCCTCATGGCACTTGTTGATTTTGAGTGTTCTTGGTCCAGTTAGAGAGTTGGACCTTTGGATAAGGCCCAATAGGGGGTTGGGCCCAATTTGCAAAATTGAGCCAATTATGGGTCTTCAAGTAATTTGGGCCTTTGAATCAACATTAGAAATTGGGCCTTGGCCCAATTCAGGAAAGGGTAAAATGGACATTTACCCTAAGCATGAATCCTTAGTCAAGATTGGTAATCCAATTGTTAATTGGATGTTTATTTTGTTGTGATAGTTCGGGATTCTTCGTGAGCTAGCAGCCGGAGTTTTTAGTGTGATTTGACATTGTGAGGTGAGTGTCCTCACTGTATTTTCGGGTCGAAGGCAGCAAGTCTGGCCCTTTGTTTTGATAACCTGATATTGTACATATGTTGAGTATAGAATTGATATGCATGCTAGACTTGATATGTTGGTCTGGTAGATCTGTAGGACTACCTGCGATATTGTCTGTTTATCTGAATGTGTTATTATTTGTTATATGTCGACCTATTGTGTGGGTTGAGTTGAGGTTGTACTGCTCTGTGCTGTAGCAAACAAACCCTAGGGTATACCAGATATGAGCTGAGGGACAAGAAGGGCATGCCAAACTCATATTGAGGGCTTATGAGCATTCCAGATACGAGATGAGGGCCGGGAAGGGCATGCCAGACTCGTACTGAGGGCTTAGTGGTATTCAGTCCAAGGACTGATCAGGACGGGGAGCAAGCCAGACATAAGTTGTGGGCCCATGGGGCAAGCCAGACTTATGTTGTAGGCTCAGGGGTAATCCGGTCTGTTAGCTGTGAACCCATTACTTGATGTTATTATATTTATGCTATTTGTTATGAATCAGTATTTTGGGGGAACTCACTAAGATTTGGGCTTACAGTTTTGGATTATGTTTAAGGTACTTCAGATGATCGCAGGAAGGCGAAGGCGTGATCCTGCATCTCCTCATGTTTTTATTTCACGATTTTGGGATTTCTCTGATGTTGAACTTATTTTGAAAACAATTTGTAAACAATGATGGTTTTGAGGATATTTTAAAAGTTTAAAATTTTTGAGAATTTTATGAATGTTACAAAAACTAGCGTCCTACATAGTATAGTGAGAAAACTCACCTCACTTTTGCGGCCGAACAATCATAGCTCGAAAAGTCTAGAAACCAATGCTACAACCCACTTATCGAAATATACAAGGTTAAACATCTATCCACAATAAAAGACTAGCAATTTTCCTAAAACTTAACAAAGTTAAAAAGTCAACGGTCAAGTCAACATCAGTTGACTTTCACATCATGATCAATCCATGGTCACGTCGTAGGGAATGAACACATGCTCGATCATAATCTCGGTCAAGATCCCACTTAGTCACAATCACTGCTACTGTCACGTCGTGATCTTAATGTCACCATGTCGTGACAGAGTCAATCCAAAACAGTCAGTGAACACCCACCATCACGTTGTGGCCTCCAAACGGTCACGTCGTGAAAGCTACTTTGGGACGACTTAATCCATTATTCCCTTAATCCTTTTAGCCGTCCATTCTAACTTTTCAGGGGGATTTCTCACACCAAAAACCTTCTAAAAACTGATGCTTTATAGACATGTCTTGAGCTCATGTTAGGTCAAAAATGATGAAAATGGAACTAAAATCTTATGCATAGGTTCAAAATTCAACCAAACATCAGATCCAATGCATATAACCTTCAAGGGACGTCACATATCCATAAAGTTCCCGAATTTATATAATACATTCATCCAAACTTTCCTAATCAAGGAGAAAATTCACAAAAAGCCTAGATCGAGAAACAAAGAACATAAAGCTTAGAACTTGCTTACTTACAAATGTCCAAGAGATGTTAAAATGTAACCTCTAAACTTGCCAAGATGCTCTCAACACTGCAAGAGCCTTCTTATTCCTTCAATAGTCACCAAGAACACCAAAATAAGCTCATAAATAGAGGAGAGGGGTTAGGGTTTCGATGAAAGGGCTGGAGGTTGAAGATGATGCCCTAAACAATGAGTTTACAGGCTTAAATATGGAGGAAACCCTAAAAGATCATGGGCTTCGGCTGCAACTACTGTCACGTCGTGACTCTCCTCTTGTAACATCATGACAACCATCCAAATATGTGATCACACATTTGGTCTGCCATGTCGTCACAGCGTTCCTGCAACATCGTGACATATTGATTTTCCTTAAAAACCATTGAATAGACTCCTTTCTATCATCAACTGGTCCATTATGGGATACGGGTGTTACAACTGTTCCCCATATAAATTAGATTTTTTCCTTGAAATCTGTTCGTACAAGTCACTCTTAAATCACCCTTCGAACCCCTCGTAGGTTCTTCCCAATCCACTTACTTTTGCATGAGACAATGTCACTCCGATTGCCCGAAACTGCGACTATAATCACAATAACTTCCACAACTAGGCACACATGCCAAATCCAAACAAAACTCCCAAAGATCAAAATAACGTTCGTTACAGCACTAGAACAATGCTCCATACGGACACCCGAGCATACGTAACCCGATGAGGAGACGAAACCAAAGCGTCCTGACAAGTCGACCTCAAGAAAAGCTAACTTCTTCATCCATATTTTGAAAACTATACGATCATGTCTGACTTCCAGGCAGACAGAGCTACCACATACGACACCCATGCTGACTAAAAGCTACCACATACAACACCCATGCTGACTAAAAGCTCAAAGATTTTTGTCCCAACGGGACCTCCCCGCTCTTCTCACTGCCTCACTGATAATTGAAATACAGACTTCATGACCATCCGCCGATGCCGACAACCTCGCACTCGAATGCAAAGGTGAATCCAAACATGAGCCCCAACGATTTACGTTGCACCACCCCATACATTAATCTTGCTACCCGAAAATTTGCAAATTCGATCTATCCGAGATCTACCCAGTCCCATGCCATCCTAATAACAAACTGGAAAACAATCAAAGGTCAATAACAGTCAAAGGCACTTTCCGTCATTAATCCGTAGGAAATCCGTCGATAAATAATTATGTCGGTATTTTGGTCGATAAAGAGTCAATTTTGAGTAAAAGTTGGAGTTTGTTTCGTAATATTCATAGGAAATCCGTTACTAATATATTAATAGATGATCTTTATGGTAGTTCTGACGGAATACCTAGATTTTTCCGTAGCAAATTCTTCATTTTCCAACTAACGGCCATAAGATCAAAAGGTGAATCAGTTTCCATAACTTCACATCCGCTTTCTCATGTTTGGCATTCTTGTATTGTTCTTTGAATTTATATATTGGCCAGTTATAGCATTATTGTACACTTTTTATTCTTCTGCAATCGTAGAGTATTTGTTGTCTGCAGAATTCCATATTTTAATTTGCATCGTATCGAGGGATCTTTATGGTAGTTTTAGATGATCAATCTTCTCTACGTACCGTGGCGTGGAACTAAAATATAAAAATATTAGTTCTGAAAAGGACAAATATTTACCAGAGGCAATTCTATAAAAGTGTCTATTCTTGTCGTTGGAAGAAGGAAGAAAATTTGGATGACTGATATATCTACGTAAAATAAAGTAGTTCTGGTTAAAACGATTAAAGTATCAATAGCAAATCAGTATTCATTGTATACCACTGCATATATACTATATATAACTCATACTTACAGATTAAGAGTATCGAAAACGACCATGCATGTAGCTCCAATGAGTAGTTCTACTCATATACAAAAGAAGCTTTCAGTTTGATCTGTCAATGCGTTACTGCTACTTTGGCGGTGTGTATATTAATGACTGTATCTATATTCTATATTTATGTATATATATTGGTTGTCAAAAATAGAATGTATACACCGGTTATGCCATAATGGCGTTACTTTTCGTTCGTATATTATGTGGATTCCCAAGTTTTTGGTAAAATGTTCAAAATAATGCATCGTATGGATTTAAACTTGTTTCGTCGTGTGAAAGTCATGGCTTGTAATTATAAAAGATTTTAGAATCAGATGATGTACCAAATGGGACCTGTAGAAGATATACTAAAACAGTGTAAAGGTTTCCTGAACTTGTACTTATACAATGCGATATACATAACGAGTTCAATCGGATTTTTATGTGATCTTGGTGTAATTGTGTAAGTCGTTCTCTCTCTCATACTTGTTCTCGTTATTGCACGAGGGAAATGAGAGAGAAAGGTAGATACTTGAAGATAGAGGTGGTTTCAGAAGTGGTTTTCTAAGAGATTTTAAGGTCGAGGGTCGTAGTTAAGATGGGGGCGTGCCTCCTGCTGTATTCGCCATAGGACCCACTCTTTCTTATTCAACTACTTTGGTTGGGACCCCCCTTGGTCCTAACACCACCCCCTATATATCTCTCTCTTTGGTGTTTAGGTGGTTGGTTGTTTTCGACGTTCAAGACCCTACACTAAAAGTAGCAAACATAATGCCCACAAGTCTAAGTCTGGTACCTCATTATTTCTTACCCTACTTTCAGACCTTCCATTCCAAATTTTAACTGTGTTCGGGTGAGTGTTTAGCATACAAACGCAAACGGGTAAAAGTGGAACGCATTTGGTGCAAAAAATGTGGGTCCCTAGGGTTGGCCATGCCATCATATACATCAAAAGGTTTCATGCGTTGAGTTTGTTTGGACCCATCTTCCTCATCTTCCCATATAAATAACCATGTCCTTGCAACCACTTTTATGCACAACACCCCTATCTTTTTGGTTATCATTCTCTTCTTTCTCTCTCTCATGTAATGTCTGAAGAGGAAATGAACTTATCGGTGAATGTTAATGGTCAGTCTAAGGTGCCTCCGGGGTTTCGCTTTCACCCTACTGAAGAAGAGCTTCTTCACTATTACTTGAGGAAGAAAGTTGCGTATGAAAAGATCGATCTTGATGTTATTCGTGATGTTGATCTTAACAAACTTGAACCTTGGGACATACAAGGTACGTCCGTAAAAACATGATTAATCAAGTAGTTTTCGTATATTCTTTGTCCAAGATTTGCGTGTGATTAAACGATCATATGCATTTGAGTTTTCTCAGAGAAGTGCAAGATAGGATCCACCCCGCAAAATGATTGGTACTTTTTTAGTCACAAAGACAAGAAGTACCCAACGGGAACCAGAACAAATCGTGCCACTGCTGCCGGTTTCTGGAAAGCCACTGGCCGGGATAAGGTCATCTACAGTAGCTTTACGAGAATTGGTATGAGGAAGACACTTGTGTTCTACAAAGGGCGAGCACCACATGGCCAGAAATCTGATTGGATAATGCATGAATACAGGCTCGACGATAACACAAATATTACCACCCAAGATGCTTGTGTAAGTTTCCTAATTAGAGTTGATGATTTTAAATCAAGAAAGCAACAGCTCGATCGTTTGTTCAATTTGGAGTTCGACAGTGGGGTTTTCCAAATTTAAAATTTGCTTCAACAAGAAGCTTTCTGTTTTGTCGAAATTATTTTTTTCTTATTAATTTTATGGTACCTAAAATATAGCCCATTTAACATCAAATCAAATACGAGCACTTTTTACGGAAGAAAAGTACCAGTTTTATATTGAACATATTCATCTGTCTGTTTGAAGTTTTGACTTGTAACTCGTACTCAAAACCTCATCACATGATATATTTTTATATTATTCTATTTATTTAAGAACGTTTATCTTGGGTGTTTATTTATATGTCCAACGTCAATTATTCCTATTCATCAATGAATGTTTGATTGTGAAGTGTTACCAGAAGACTTGACTAGTGTTGTGATCTTTTGATTCAGGGATCTAATCTGTGCGATTCTGCTCAAGAAGATGGCTGGGTCGTATGCCGTGTTTTCAAGAAAAAGAACTACCACAAAGCGCTTGAGACCCCCCAAAGATCGCTTTCGGCTTCCATGGATTCAAGAACGCAGTTGCAATCCTTAAATAAAGACGGTGTTCTTGATCAATTACTCGTGTACATGGGTAGCAATAGGTCTTGTAAGGAAGAAATATTAGATTCTTTAACAGCCAACCAAAATGCCATGCAACAATTAGTTAGCCCCATGAACAACAGGTTTTACCACCTTCCGAGACTCGACAGCCCCATCATGACCCTGTCACCTCACCACAGCTCTGCCTCAGCCAGCTTTGATCAAGGGTTGAGTTTCAAGCCCCTTCTAAATGACTTTCTAACAGAAGCCGAACAACAAAGAAATACAACTGCAAACATAGTCGATGTTCATGACTCACGTGAACGTCTTGATAATTGGGCAGATCTTGAGAGGCTCGTGGCCAGTCAGTTGAACGGCCAAGTTGACTGTTCAAAGCAGCTTTACTCTTGCTATACCGAACCAAATCATGAAGACTTCTGTTTCTCACTTGACCATGAGGATCAAGAACCACAGCAGGTTTGCGATTCAACAACAATGGTTAGACAGAACCACGCATCATATTCGAGTGAGATAGACCTCTGGAGCTTTGCTCGATCATCATCGTCTTCGTCGTCCCCGGATCCATTATGTCACTTGTCAGTATAAAACTATACGTACCTAGAAGTCACAACTTTGAGTTATATGAAGTTAATATAAAATAGGAAAACGAAAATAGGGTTTAGGGGTGAATGATCAAATGACAAAATGTGAGGTGATTGATGGATAGGTAGCACATATGGGCGAAAAAGAAAAGCGGAAAACATTACACGTACACATATTATATAGAAAAGGATTGAATAAAAATTAGTGAATAAAGTTATATGTTTGTATGTATGTATCTATGATGGATTTGGGGGTGCACCCGATCAACTGTTTTCTATCATCATCGTGTACTTGTACATGCACATTAATATGAAAGCAGGTATACGTATTTTGATAGTACCAAAAAGGATCTTTACATGTTTCTTATGATTATGATGGTTGATTTAATGAGATGAGGCTGGTCCCACGAGCGAACATATAGGAAAAGGTTTCACCAGCAATGCTAATGATAATATATAAAGTTGTGTTAAAAGTCAATCACATTTTCTCTAATCGAAATTAACGTATTATAGTAACAAATAATTAATAGACCCATTCATTAATAATAATAATAATAATAATAATAATAATAATAATAATAATAATATTCATAGGATATCATGATTTTTGTTAGGGTAAAGATTTTCGAATTATAAGAATTAGTAACAAGTATGTGGTTGACGTTATCTAGTATCCATAACCACACACACATGTTGAATATAATGAAAGTAGTTTTGTAGTTTATTAATGAAAACGGGGCTGTCGTCTATATGGTTATAATTAGATTTCTGTTAGACAACAAACCCACCACACCCAACTCCACTAGCTACATACCAATTAGTCATTCTCATTTTAGGGAATGACATTGTTTAATCATGGACTATGCCCGATTATCAAAAGAACATCGACTATGTCCAATTCGATTTTCCTGGATATTAAACTTCGCAGGATGTCTAGTATATGATGTGTTTTATATGTTGTTTTTATTTGGTATAATGAAATTACAATGAGAATGATAATAACTATTAGAGTAAATTATTGAAATGGTTCCTATGGTTTAAGTAATATTGTGCGTTTAGTCTCTAACCTTTTTTCGCACTCGGACCGTCCTCAACGTTTCTTTTTATTACGCGTTTGGTCCTGATAACGTTTTCCTGCACTCATGCACGTTAAGTATATCACAACCCTAGCAACGTAAGGGTATTTTCGTCCTACTATTTGAAAATCCTTTTTAAATGTTTGTATAAAGCTAGATGTGTGTTTTTCTCTTCTAATCATTTTCACTTCATATTCTCCACCTTTTTTTCTTCTTATCTGCAACAACAATAAGAAACCCTAATGGCATGAAACTGTAGTTGTGGTCAACCAACTGTAATATGAACATCTACCACCAAGAAGAACCTTAGGCGACAACTTTATGTTTGTACCAACAAGGTATTTTTTTAACTCAAATCCTTTAATCAAAAAAACCCTTAAGGAAGACCAATTTATGAAAACATTTGATAACAACTTGTGGTTTTGTTGGTTGGGTTGACGAAGATGAGTTTGATCATGCAAGACATGACTTTTCTCTACTACTCTTCGGTGAAGCTTTTTTTTTTGGTGATTCTAATTTAGAAGTTGTAATTCTTTTAGTCAATGTACTCAAAACCATCGGTTATCTTGATGTTGGAGAATTAGTTCTACTAACTTCCAAAAATGAGTTTTTTCACCATTTTTTTGTATGAATTTTGGACTCTAAATATAATCAAAACAGACGAATGATTATATATTCGTATTTGTGATATCTTCGTTTTGATATATTACACGTCCAAAATGGATTAAAATAAATGAGAAATTACTTATCAAATTAAGATAATTAGAAGAGAATAATAAGTGGGTTAAGTATCTTTTAACTCACCTTGCGTTGGTGGGAGTATCAAAGATAATTGGTTTATAACTATAAAGACTAGCTACCTTTATAGGACTTATAGAACCAATGCTCTCTCTTGCACGCGCTCGCCGGGGGGAGGGGGTGGAGGGGAGGGGCGGTCCAAATACAAGCCAGTTTGGCTTCGATTCACTGAACTTGTGTGCGTGTGCGCATCCTGTGGGTAAGAATGCACCATCTGTCGATCAGAAAAGTTCACAGACATTTTTTGCAATTATTTTCTTTTCGTTTAATAGTTACAAACCCAAATTACGAGTCATTAGTCATAGATTTTCGTTTTGATTTCTTGATTAATTGACTTAATTGTCTTATTTAATTATGAGAGTTACGATTTCGTATTAATCACATCACATACATTGTGTAGTTAAATACAACACTAATGTAACTTATTGAGACACACCAAACGAAACGAAATTCATCTCTTCCTTTCTTACGTTTCATCATCATCTTCTTCTTCTTCTTCCACTTCTTGCTGCAACCAATGTATTTTTCAAGCCAAGAGAGGGTTCGAGTGACCTAGAAGAGTCACTTACTGTTGTTGTATCCATGGAAACAAACACTCATATAAGGCGAATTTGTGTTAAGGAAACTGTGTTTAACATGTGCCTCAACCAAAATTTTTTGTTTGTTTTGTTCTTTTGAGCCTTTTTGGGTGATACTCTCCTAATAATTGATGTATTAAGCATTTTGTTTTTATTTGTGGGAAATTTTCAATTATGTTGATGGTTATTCTGTAGGAATTGAAAATTAACAATTATCTTGATGTATTTAGTGCTTAATACAATTGATAAAAATTACATGTTTATTAAGTTATTATAGAATTGGTTGTACATGTATTGTGCAAGAAAAGTTACATATTTATTAATTTCTTACAAAATTGGTTGTACATGTATTATGCAGGAAAAAGGTTAATTGCCTCAAAAGGTAACACATGTGTACTCTATTTATGACCAAAAACCATCATTTGGTAACAATTATACACAATTCATAAATAAGTTTAGCAAAAGATACAACTTTAGAAATCAATCATCATATCTAAGTACCATACAATTATACTCTAAGAAAAGATACAAGGTAATTATAGTAATTGATATCACTTAAAGCCAAGAAATTAAGCAACAAAAGATAAAAAGTCCAAAAGCCAATACATTAAGCAACAAAAATACTAGAAAATTACTTCTTCAAGCGACTTTCTTTCCTTTCTTCCCAACATTAATTGCCTTCCTTTTCCTGCTTGGTTCACCTTCACCAACACTTCCACTAGCAATCCGACCTTTACAGCTTCTTGCATTATGAATAGCATTTTTGCATTTTGAACATGTCACATATTTATTTTTTTCTTGAATCCCTTCCCTTCACCATATATTCCAATTCCACTGCAGACTTCTAATGTTCTTTTTTGGTCATCCCGTAGGGACATGATGTTTAGGATGATGCAATGTTGGTGGGAAAGGATATTTTTTCTACATTCTTCTTCCATTGGTAGGTTCAATATTAAAGGAATGAATTTCCTTCCATGTTTTTAACTACTAAGTTGGATAAACCCATGATTCAGGTAACCCTATATCTTTCTTTTTTTTTCTCATATCCCGTATTGTAACTATTGTATACTTACATGGTATATCTGTGAGTTCCCATTTCCTAAAAGAACACGTATGTTGAACCATGTCAACAATACACTAGTTCCACTTTCACATTAACGGTGGTTTGTGGGTTTCGTGTTTGAAGTTCTACAATATAGTCTCTTGGTGTAGAGTTTTGATGTGCATAATCACCCCTCACATGATTATGTGCCTCTGTTTTTGTCCGAAATACCTTCATCTTCAAAATGTCATTTTGGTATTGACGTTAGAGTTGTTCTGGCAAAGATTTTGTAGGGATTGCAGGGTTACTTTCCACTTCGACACAATTTTCTTAGATAAAAAATTGCAAGTACAAGCTTTTACTATCCTCGTTTGTAGACATACATGTGTTTTTTATTAGGTATGAATCTCCCAATCTACATCATTTTTCCAATTGCATGCATATAGGACCCACAGGCACATCCTTTCTTCATCATGCCCACCAACACATACTTCATTAGGGTCTATTGTACTAACTATACCAACAACCCTTACTCTAATTTTGTCATTTTTAATTATCTCAATTCTCTTTTACTGTCGATAACATGTTGTTTTATTCTACTTTTCATCTCTTCAGATGAACCAAAAGTCTGATACACGTAAAACGGATCAGTAACACGTGCTTCACTATTTTCTTGTGCCTTCCGTATTACACTAATTGACTTTCTTATGGTTTTATCCATTCCCCCTCATTAGATGACAACATCAATATGTCATTGTTAAGCACCTCAGTTTCTTCATCTTCCTAACCATCTTCTGCATTCACACTCTACTCTCCATTGTCACCCACCTATTTAGTAAGATCCCAAAAATCATGAAAAAATTTTCATTTTTAAAATCACTTAATAATTCATAAATCATTGAATTCATTGTTTCTAAAAAGACATGTTATAAATCAGAGTCTCTCAAAATCAATTACCAAGAAAATATCGAAGGATGGTGTGCACAATTACGCATTCACTTTGGCCCGATCATCTGATGTACCTGAAACCATGAAATCAAACTGTAAGCCAAATGATAATAAGTTCCCCAAAATACCACACACCACCAAACAGATAACAACATGTATATACGACCCTTTGGTTTAGGTGTCTAAGCCCACAACTATATTTGGTGTGTACTTGATTTGATTATGAGCATGGTCCTTTTGGGTTGTCTTCACTCATGCAACCTGATAGGATGACTAGTGGAGAGAGAGAAAGTGTAGGATTTATTATATGAATAATAAATTGGTACTCAAAATGATTTTATTAATATATTATAAGATTAATATATTATTTGGAAATCATATTATTAATTAGTAATTAATCAGAAATTAAGTTGATATTAATTTTGGGATTAAAGGAAATAATTAATAATGGAGGGACCGGTTTTGCAAATCATTGATAGTTACAAAACTGGGATGATGGACTCTATAGAGTGGAGTGGACGAAATCATATAGGGAGACCCTATAGATTTCGTCCAAGGGCTCTAAAGAGAGGGTCTATGGGCTACTTAAGCCTTAAGCAAGAGATTAGGGTTTCCACCTAAAAACCCTAGCAGCCACAGCTATATACAGAACCTCTCTATAAGGAATTTTGACCTAAGCTTTATGAAACCATAGAGTAGCCGATTTTCACCTCTCTCGTAAGTCATTCTTAGCATTGAGTGTTTGTGACTCCATTAGAGGTGCAACACTTGGGGCACTAGGCTTTCAGAAGTCAAGATCTAGCAAGGATTGTTCTTGTTA